AATGTAAGATGTGAAACCATAAAAATTCTAGAAGAAAACATAGGCAGCAAAATCTCAGACACCTCCCATATCAATATGTTTGCTGATACATCTCCTAGGGCAAGAGAAACAAACGAGAAAATAAACAAATGGGACATTAAAATAAAAAGCTTCTGCACAGCAAAAGAAACCATCAACAAAGCAAAAAGAGAGCCAGCCAACTGTATGGGAGAACATATTTGCCAATGACACATCTGATAAGGGGTTATTATCCAAAATATATAAGAAACTCATACAACTTAACAAATGGAAGACAATCCGATTTTAAAAGGGGCAAAGGACCTAAATGGATACTACTCCAAAGAGGACACACAGGTGGCCAAGAGACATATGAAAAAATGCTCAAAGTCACTAATCATCAGAGAGATGCAAATTAAAATGACAATGAGATATCACCTCACACCTGTCAAAATGGCTCCATCAATAAACAACAAGGGCTGGCGAGGGTGTGGAGAAAGGGGAACCCTAGTACACTGCTGGTGGGAATGCAGACTGGTGCAGCCACTATGGAAAACAATATGGAGTTTCCTTAAAAATTAAATATGGCCCGGCCGGACGTGGCTCAGTGGTTGAGCGTCGACCTAGGACCCAGGAGATCAGNTTAAATATGGCCCGGCCAGACGTGGCTCAGTGGTTGAGCGTCGACCTAGGACCCAGGAGATCAGGGTTCAATTCCTGGTCAGGGCACATGCCCGGGTTGCGGGCTCGATCCCCAGTCAGGGACGTGCAGGAGGCAGCCTATCAATGACTGTCTCATCATTGATGTTTCTATCGCTCTATCCCTCTCTTTTCCTCTCTCTGAAATCAACAAAGATTTTTTTTTTTTAATTTAAAAAAAATTAAATATGGAACTGCCATTTGACCCAGTGATCCCACTTCTAGGAATATATCCTAAGAAACCCAAAACATCAATCAGAAAGAGTTTATGCACCCCTATGTTCATAGCAGCACAANAGAGCCAGCCAACTGTATGGGAGAACATATTTGCCAATGACACATCTGATAAGGGGTTATTATCCAAAATATATAAGAAACTCATACAACTTAACAAATGGAAGACAATCCGATTTTAAAAGGGGCAAAGGACCTAAATGGATACTACTCCAAAGAGGACACACAGGTGGCCAAGAGACATATGAAAAAATGCTCAAAGTCACTAATCATCAGAGAGATGCAAATTAAAATGACAATGAGATATCACCTCACACCTGTCAAAATGGCTCCATCAATAAACAACAAGGGCTGGCGAGGGTGTGGAGAAAGGGGAACCCTAGTACACTGCTGGTGGGAATGCAGACTGGTGCAGCCACTATGGAAAACAATATGGAGTTTCCTTAAAAATTAAATATGGCCCGGCCAGACGTGGCTCAGTGGTTGAGCGTCGACCTAGGACCCAGGAGATCAGGGTTCAATTCCTGGTCAGGGCACATGCCCGGGTTGCGGGCTCGATCCCCAGTCAGGGACGTGCAGGAGGCAGCCTATCAATGACTGTCTCATCATTGATGTTTCTATCGCTCTATCCCTCTCTTTTCCTCTCTCTGAAATCAACAAAGATTTTTTTTTTTTAATTTAAAAAAAATTAAATATGGAACTGCCATTTGACCCAGTGATCCCACTTCTAGGAATATATCCTAAGAAACCCAAAACATCAATCAGAAAGAGTTTATGCACCCCTATGTTCATAGCAGCACAATTGACAATAGCTAAGATCTGGAAACAGTCCAGGTGCCCATCATGAGTGGATAAAAAAGCTGTGGGACATTCATACCATGGAATACTATGCAGCTGTAAAAAAAGAATGATCTCTTATCCTTTGGGATAAGAGCAGGATGGATGGATCTGGAGAGTATTATGCTAAGTGAAATAAGCCAGTCAGAGAAAGACAACTATCACATGATCTTATTCATATGTGGAATATAATGAACAAAATTAACTAATGAACAAAATAGATCCAGAGACATAGAAGCATTCGACAGACTGACGAACCTCAGAGGGAAGGCGGGGGTGGGGGAGTGGGTGTGAAGAGATTAATCGTAAATGCATAACCCATGGACACAAACAGTTATATGCATAAATGCATAACCCATGGACACAGACAGTTGTATGGGAAAGGCCTAGGGGTGGAGGGGATCAATGCAGGGGGAAAGGGGAACATCTATGATACTTTCAACAATAAAGATAATTTTTTTTAAGTCAGGTATTATATGTTTTAAAAATTCTTGCAGCACATTAGTGGAAAATCAGTACTCTAAGCTAATCTTAGTTATACCAGTCCTCTTTAAAGGTGGGCATGTGATCCAGTATTAGTCTGAAATACGAGAGGTCTACAGGAGACAGGGAAGGCTTCTAAGCAAATTTTTTTCTGCTTGTGGATATTGTTAGGTTCAGATGTGAAACCTGAAACTGCCAAAGTCATCTTGGATCAGGAGGAGAACCAGCCTTAGAATGAGGTAGTCACTGAAGATGGCAGAGTGGAGAGTTGGAAGGCATCTAGGTCTTTGATGGCACCATTAAGCTACTGATCGTACTATTCCTAGAGACTCCTTATTTCTTGACTTTTTCATTGTGAGATAATAAAATTTCCTTACTGATCAAGTTTATTTGAATTGCTTTTTTTGCTACTTGCAGCTAAAGGCATCCTAATGATATAGTACACCCTGGAAAAAATGGAGGTCAGCAATCTTCCTGTGGAGAATTTTGTAGCATAACTCCCAGGAAGAAAAAGGGGAAATTAGGGCCCAAAAGTCATCCAGAACAGAACAGGATCTCCTAGAATTTGAGGACGTGAGGAACTGATAAAAATATGTCTTGGTGAAAACTTCTTTGATCAAAACATGATAAAAGAAATTAAAGTTTTCTTCATCTAATTAAATAACTATTATTTCCTTTAGATTAAACTTGATTTTTTTTTTTGACAAAAATGTTCAAGGCAATTATAATTTTTTATTTCCAAAATTTAAAAGTAACTCACTAATTATTCTCTAAAAACTTTGAAGTAATCAGATTGTGATTCAACATAATTTGCTCATGAAATGTATATAAAAGTAGATAATTTTATAGAAATCTATCAAAACAAGATGAAAAAATTATTATTTGGTTAAAAGTATTAGAGGAGTGGTTCAGCTTTAATATCTTCTTGATTTATTTTATAAGTAGTAGAAAAATCTATTATGTGAGCTTATCTTAATTTTCTTTCGATATTCCTTAATTTTGGTAACTGGCTTTTTGATAGCTGTTAGTATTTGTTGCTGATAATTCCTTTTTATCATTCACAAAAGATAGCTTGAGACCTTTGCTCAGAAAGGAAGACTAAGTTGTTAATGAACAACTTAATTATTTCAAGGTTGGATTCTCTACTCATATGAGTTTTCAGCTACTGATTTTAACTACAGTAACTACTATATGTCTTTTTTTATAATTTTAGTTGGCTACGTGTATTTTAAATCCTGTCTTTTTTCATAACTAGTGATTTTTAAATTTAACATTTGAGAATTTCAATGTTTTTGGGCAATGTTTCTGGACTTGGCTAACTATTGAAATTTAAAGCCCTTAATTAATGATCAGAGGTCTTTGAGGTACTTCTTTTCTATATGACATTTCTTGACCTTTGTCCACAATGACACACTAGACCCTCCTATCAGTTGTGCATTCGTTAATCGTAGCTCCACTCTTCTCTCTCCACCTGGGAAGTGGAGCTTTATGGGCATTACCTTCAGTCCACAAACAGACCACTAGGACTTACTGGCATTTTTTATAAGCAACAAATTATTGTAACATTCCTTCTGTGTCCAAAGTGGTACTGCACTGCTGGACAGTTGAAGTAAGTCTGGGGACATTTCATGGTATAAAGGAAAGGAATACTAACAGCTCATTTTTATAGTGCTCAACCATTAGCGCCCCAAACTCTCAGGTAGTTATTACCTCGCCGGCAGTAAAAACTTGATTACAGCCCGACTGCTGACTGTTAAGGTCCTTGGTTCCCACAGCTTCTCGGGCAAAATATTAATTGTGATTAATTATCCTATGGCACAATACAAAGACTAGATGATTTTATTGTGGCTTCCGGAGGGCTCTGGCTTGGCTTTTCGCTGCAGCCCTCAGGAAAAGGGAACTGGACAGCTCCCCAGGGGGCCTTAAGCGCTTCCCGGGTCAGAGCCGGCCAGCCGCTCGCTGTCCCCAGTCAAGTGGGTCCGGGCCTACCCGCCCTCTAATTTAGGCGCTTTGACCTTGAGCAGAGAACCCAGCCTGCGGTCCTCCGGGC